TTTTTTTTTCTTTCCCAAATAGTATCCTAATGTTGCAATATTTACTTTTCATTTGTACATCCAATTTAATTTAACATGTCTTTATTTCGATTTTGGTTGACTAAGCTTTTGTTATATTCCTGTTTATTGTACGTTGATGGTACTTATATATATACGGTTTATTTCAAACATTAGCCCAAACCAAGTTCACACATTATACGAGTAATATATACAAGAAAATTACTCTTAAACTTGCCTTTTAGCATCAAAACTAATAAATTTGATTATACTAGAGGCATTTTATATAGATAAAAATCTACCGTTTTTTTACTTTTCAAAAGATTTTTTTTCCTTAAAGCTTCAAAGAAGTAGTGATGCGTTTTGTATTGAAAAAAAGAGGGTGAGAGATATAGCCTAAGATTTTAATTAATGTTTATTAAAATGGTTGTGGAGGCTATAAGTGGGGGGTAATATAGCATTGCATTTTAAAAAGTATAAAATGATTATAAGAGAGGTCATAAATAAAAGAATATATTTATTTTGGCTTGAAATTAAATCATGAACTAATTTAAATGGATACCAGATTAAGTGAAAAAGCTTCAAAATTTTCAATCGTGGTCGATAATAATCAATATAATCAAATAGCTAGAAAAACTAAATGAAACAACAAATTAAATCCTTGCATGCGTTGTTACCAAAGGTATTATCTTTTGTTGTTAGCATATATTTGTATTTTATACGTACATATTGTCTTATGTTTGATCAAATATTGTTTAACTCATTATGTCATGAGTTTAAAATTTTAGCATGGTTTCCAAATCACAATTTAAAGCTCATGCAACAATGTTTCTAACTAAATTATGACGTTTTAGATGGTGTGTATAACTCAGCAATGTTTCGTCGATATAGTATTTTAAATGTTGTGTTTGTACTTCTGAACTAAAGAAGCTTGGATGTGGCATTTGGCTTGACCCACGAAGGCAGCGACATGTGGCAACCAACAATAATTATTTGTATTGTGGCTGCTGACAAATTTTCACAAGTGATCTATTTGAATTATATTGATGAGATTGTTTGCTTCATCACAAATTATAGTATATGCAATAAAATATGACAAGGATATGTTATTATTTAGAATTAAATCACATGTTTCATACACAATATTTACCCTTGTAATTTTTTTTGCCGAGACGACGACCTTCCATAAAATAAACGCAAAATAATGGAGACATTCTCAATAGTTTTTTGTAATCTATGGCATGTGGGATGTGGCCACCGTGAACTTCTGAAAAGAGTGATGTATTTGAATTATAATGGTTGGATTGTTTTCCATGAAGTAAACACTGCACAAAGGAGACAATCTTGATGAACTTTACTACATTACCCAAAATTAATTAAACATATAAAAAAGCTCAAATTGTCCAAGCTAGA